TTATGTATTTCTCTACCTCTATCTTATTTTTGAAACGCATTTTTTCTGTGTCACTTTGTAACGAGGTAAATACATTAAGGTCCACATTGAAGGAAGGGACTGAGATCAACAGAATTGTCCCTTACAGGAGGTATTACTACATTTGTAGTTTAGGAATTCTGATTAAAAGAAAGAAATCTTTTTATAGAATGAAAAATTTAAACTAAAAAAAGACAATCTGAAACTTTTCAGATTTTAAATTATGTCCAAAGGGGCATTTTTGCAACGTTTTGTGTGTCACCTTTAGTTATTAAATATCATGTTCTTCACACTTCAGCCATAAAATTCAGTTCAAGAGCAATGTGGCAAAATAATTTTAAAATGAGCCTATCTTTAGAATTTCTGATAGACATATCCGTGCGCTGGAGATAAAAAGGTTCTCCCCCCGTAGAGTGTTGCCATTGCTCTCTTTGAAATAAAAAAAAAAAAATCTGAAAGCTTTTAGATTTTATATTACGCCCAAAAAGCGTGTTCTCAACGTTTCATGTGTTACTTTTATTAAATATCATGTTCATGTTCTTTTCGCTCTTAAATCATAAAATTCAATTCAAACAGCAATATCACCAACTACTTTAAAAAGAGCATAAAATTTCCGATACATAGCCTTGCGCGCTGGAATTAAGAGCGTTCCTCCTTCCCCGTACAGTGTTGCCATTGCTCGCTATGTGAAATCGTTGAGTTTGTTAATCAAAAATTCGTTAAAATTTTACAAAATATGAAATAGATTATAAAACAAATTCCACATTTGTGCTTCCAGATGCCCATATTCGGATGGAGACATGCGTTATTCAAAATTGGGTGGCTTTAGGTACCGTTTTGTTATCACAATGCGAGAAATAACATATATTTATGCAGATTCTACATTATTTAATTTCCTTAAATATATAATACAGGGTGATAATATTTGGTGGCAATAATTTGAAAAGCGATTCAGACTTTTTTCAACGCAAAATGCCAAAACGAAATTTAATAGCCCTTCTGGGCTAAAAAGGGAAATGTTGTTTGTACAATATTTGAAAGGTATGAATCTGACACATATCAAAATTTTAGTAGAAATTAACTGATAGTTAGGCTTCATGTTTGTAAAATCAAATTTCTTTGCCTGAAGAGGGAGTTGACATAACATCGCTGTATTTATTTAATTTATTTAAAAAAAAAAAAAAAAAAGAGAGTTTATCATCGCTAAGCAATGACTCATGAAGTAGGCAAAGAATTCACCTAATATTCAGTGTGTGATTACTTTTCCATTACACCATCAACATTTACAGGCTATTGTTTTGTCAGTTAATCTACACATCTCATATATTCATATAAATTGATTTCATAGCTTCCTAAAAAACACATATAAAATGCATTATATTTTCGCATAATTTTAAATCATAAAAAGTTGGAAAAATATAAAAATATTAACTAAAAGCTAAATTTTCATTAAAGAAGTAGCAACTTCGACTAAGTACCGGACATCTGAAGTCCGGATAATTCTGAATTCTTTTGCATCAACTTGTAAGAAATTAAAGTGTTCCTTCCATATGTGCTTCGTGGTGGAATAGTTAGCACATCCAGCTGGCATTTTGAAGATTCGTAGTTCGATTCCCGGTAAAAGCATATTTAAGTTTTTCATGTTTTGCAATAATAATAATAGTAATAAGAAAAATCTGAAAGGTTTCAGATTTTAAATTACGTCCAAAGGGGCATTTTTTTTAACGCTTTGTGTGTTACCTATATTTATTAAATATCATGCTCTTTGCACTTAAACCATAAAATTCAGTTCAAGAGCAATGTCGCAAAATGATTTTAAAATGAGCCTATCTTTAGAATTTCCGATACACAATTCCGTGCGCTGAAGATAAAAAGGTCCTCCCCCGTAGAGTGTTGCCGTTGTCGCTTTGAAATCCTTGAGTTTGTTACTCAAACATTCGTTAAAGTTTTACAAAATATGAAATCGATAATAAAACAAATTCCAAATTTCAAATTTGGTCTTCCACATGCCCATATTCGTAGGAGGATTACGTCATTCAAAATTCGATGGATCTAGGTACCGTTGTTTTTATCACAATTAAAAAATATACATATAATTTATGCAGATTTTTTTATTATTTAATTTCTTCAAATATAATGCAGGCAATAGTCATGCATTAGTCCAATGGACATAGTCCTGCATTAATTATAAGCTATTTCAATATGTCAGCAACAGAATATGTGATATGCATGTTCAATATGTAATTTTGTATGTATGCTGTGCCAGGTTCTCATACATAAAGTTCGTACTGTATCTGAATGCTGGTAATGTTATCTGTACATGTTTATATCTTTTATTTATGGTACCTAATTTATACTAAGGTTCACGCGTACCTCAATGGCATGCTTCTTGTAAACTTTAACTATCATGATAACGTATATGTATGGGAGTATATATCAATATGAGTGAGAGTATGTACAGTGTCTCACAAAAGTGATGGGTGGAATAGTTAGCACATCCAGCTGGCATTTTGAAGATTCGTAGTTCGATTCCCGGTAAAAGCATATTTACGTTTTTCATGTTTCACAATAATAATAATAGTAATAAGAAAAATCTGAAAGGTTTCAGATTTTAAATTACGTCCAAAGGGGCATTTTTTTTAACGTTTTGTGTGTTACCTATATTTATTAAATATCATGCTCTTTGCACTTAAACCATAAAATTCAGTTCAAGAGCAATATCGCAAAATAATTTTAAAATGAGCATACCTTTAGAATTCCCGATACACAATTCCGTGCGCTGGAGATAAAAAGGTTTCCCCCCCCTACGTACAGTGTTGCCATTGTCGCTTTGAAATCCTTGAGTTTGTTACTCAAAAATTCGTTAAAGTTTTACAAAATATGAAATTGATAATAAAACAAATTCCAAATTTCAAATTTGGGTTTCCGCATGCCTATATTCACGGTAGGATTACATCATTCAAAATTGGATGGCTCTAGATACTGTTGTTTTGTCACAATGCGAGAAACATAGATACCTTTAAGCACATTCTTCATTATTTAATTTCGTCAAATATAATCAAGGGCGATAATATTTGGTGGCAATAGTTTGAAAAGTGAAACGGACATTCAGAGTGATTCGACGCAAAATCACAAAAGGAGAACAGTAGTCCCTCAGGGACAAAGCCTCTTTGGACTAAAAATTAAATTTGACATTAGTAATTATTGTTACAAAGGAATGAACAGTGAATAAATTTGTACAGTATACATATTTTGAGTTATCATGTATACATAGCTCATGCTACTATATACTGGTACAGTAAATAGAAACAAATTTGATTTTATTACTTTATAACTTATTATGATGAAATTTAATTATGTTATTAAAAATAATAATATAAATGTCCTATATTATTAAAGTTAGAAACAAATTTGATTTTATTACTTTATAACTTATTATGATGAAATTTAATTATGTTATTAAAAATAATAATATAAATGTCCTATATTATTAAAGTTAGAAACAAATTTGATTTTATTACTTTATAACTCATTATGATGAAATTTAAATTATGTTATTAAAAATAATAATATAAATATCCTATATTATTAAAGTTAGAAACAAATTTGATTTTATTACTTTATAACTCATTATGATGAAATTTAATTATGTTATTAAAAATAATAATATAAATATCCTATATTATTAAAGTTTTTGTTGTTGTTTACCTTTTTTGGGGGATACTGAAGCCACACCCCTCCAAATTACAGACCCTAAGCATTTGTATTTGACTGTTGGGGTTAATATAGTTCTGAATATCTTTAGACAGTTGTTGAAAGCACTCTCTTTTTCACCAGTATGGCAGGCTTTTGTATGTGCATAAAAACACAGGAAGCATTATTGTGGAAATTTTTACTTTAATACATACATAAAATCTGGTTTTTAGAAAAATGAACTTTTATTGAATTTACCTGATATGAATAATAGGACTGTCACATTAGCATTTCTGCTACGTCTTTAACTAAAGCCGTTTTTCATCTAAAAATCCAATTGCGTTAAATGGGACAGACGAACTCGCTCATCCACATAATGTAACAAAAATCACATTTATTTTAGCTTCATTTTGTGTTATAATGTTGATGCTTATGTGTTCATTTCAACCATTTATGTATGTGAACAAATTATTAGGTTTGGTTATTAAATACAAAAATTTCAATATTTTGACAATCATGTAATGCTTAATATGATAGCTGTTTGCTTTTCTGAGCATTTTAACAAATTTAGGAAGTGGCAAACAAGGCTTTGTACCTCAAGGGACAATTTTCATCTTGGGACTGCAGGAGGATAGAAAACACTTCCGGTAGTAAACATCGGTATTAATTTCAAATAATCTGTATATGAAAGTTAAATATGTCCATTTTTTCATTGACAATTTGAATTAATTGGTCACATATTGTTGATAATAAATGATTTACATTTCTTTCTTTTTTTTATATGAATTGCTTAAAATTCATTAAATTCAGCTAGAATTTCTAGAGGTTCAGTGTAGTTTCCGCTAGATCCAGCTGATTATCCGAAACATACATCCTCACCATGAAATGTAAATGAATGTTTCTCTGAAAATTTGTAATTGTGATCATTTTTTGAAATACTTTATTCCAATATCCCCCCCCCGAAATGAAATTTCAGTGTTTATATTATTATGTGTGGAACTTGCTACTAACATTGTTATAGAGTTCTTGTGTTGCACTGAACATTTATGTTGTTCATATCTTGCTTTATCTTCTTTCCTATCATCATAGATGCCAATAAAGGATGGAAGAAAATGAAAATAATGGAAGGAAAGAGCTTATATGTATAGTAATAAATAAATTTACTATTAATTCGGTTTTAATTTTTTTTCATCATTTGTGTACAATAAAATATGTCTTTTTTAAACAATTTTGTAATTTTTTGCCCATCTTCTGTGACAGGTAATTTCAATGTATTTACAAAACATGTGTTTGATAGCAATTTATTTTTAATTATAAAATCATTCATAATGAAAATAAAATGTGTTTGGCGCATAGATATATCAAAGTTTGGGAGATTTTTCAAATCTTCTTATTTATCTTCACTTTGCTCTTTTTTTTTTTTTTTTTTTTTTCTTTCTGGTCTTTTGTACATTGATCTAGGTCTTTTCAGATGCTATAAATTATTCTATTGTTCATCTTCATTTTTTTCTCCTTTTTATATTCTTTTGTGTTACATACTGATCTAGACTTGAACTTTTTTTCTTCCTATATGTGATAGATTTGCATCTTTTTTTTTTTTTTTTTTTTTTAATTTTTTTATTAAATACTTGAATTATGTGTCTTGTTGTTTTAACATATACCTTTTTTTCCCTTCCAAATTTTCACTCATATTGATAGCTTATACAGTGGTACCTCCCAATGAGGGACATCAACTGGACCAGGCATTTTTTGGCTAAGAGGTATCCTTCATAGGGTACCTACTAAAAAAAAAGTGTAATTTAATTAGAAATTTGGGTTGTATCAACCTTTAAATAAATTATATATAAATAAGTAACATAATCACAGGTATTTGTTTGAATTTTAAGTTAATGAAAAATGAAAATTCTTAATTTAGAAAGTTTAATTATTGCAGACATGCAAAATGAACAATAGAGTTTTGTGCTTACAGAAATTTCTTGAAAATAATTCATTACGTGGATTTGTTTGAAAGTCTGCATTGCAAGCATTTTTTTCTGCATGAATATTAAAGTCACTTATGATCTTAAGTCCTTTTGTTTTAACAGTTATCATGAGCTTTTTAATGAGAAGGTTTGTTTTAGGGCATCTGTATAGTTTTTTTGTCACACTCTTTATCCGGTTCTTCTTTGTGTACCTCACTGCTTTCCAAGCTATTTTTGTTAAAGTTCATATCATCATCTACAGTAGAAATAAAAGATATTATGCCATTACTAGTGTCTTCACAAATTTTCATCGATTTCTAAATATTCTTACATTTGAGCACTACCACTTATTTTGACAAGTTCAAATAATTCAGTAGTATTTTCACTGAGGGCACTGGAAACTGGATTTTCAAATCTCGCTGTCTCAAAACAAGGTTGAACACAACTTTGGGATATGGATTTTAACAGCCTCTGTAATCCAGTGAATGACATTCAATATATTGACACATTTTCCAGGCTGACTGTTCTTTCCTTAAGCATTAAAAACAGTATTCTGTTATGAAATCTGAAACTTCTGATTATGCCTTGGGCCAAAGACTGTAATACTGACATAGCATTAAATAGGAAAAACGCTTAATTTCACAGATTTCAGTACGTCTGATGGTTGGGCTGGCGAATTGTCAAGAAATAGCAGAAACTTTCTATTTTTCAGACATTATTTCATCAAGAGCAATCAATCATTCTGACATTATTCTGTGCTTTAGTCATGACTTTTTATTCTGATGCCAATGGACCAATAAAACTTTTTGATTGATGTGTTTGAAACATCTTGGTTTTTTGGTCTTTCCAGTTACAAGTGGTTGCTCAAACTGTCCTTCCATGTTACTACAAAGTAACAGTGAGACATTCCCTGAAGCTTTAACACCAGAGCACTTTTCTCCTTTGACGCATAGAGTTTTATTAGGCAAAATTCAATAAAATAATCCATTTTCATCAACAATGTAGATGTTTTTATCCTCATATCCTTCATAAAATTTCATTTAGCTTTCCTATCCAGTCTTATCATATTTTGCATATGCACTGATTGTTCTTCACCACAAAGTCTTAAGAGTTATGTTTTTGCTTAAAATTGTCTAACAAGCGATTTGATGCCTGACATTCTGTATTCCCAGACTTCTTTTTCTTTCTTGAACTTGAAACTTCCTTTTCTTTTCTTGAAATAATGCTCTGCTTACAAGAATATTGTTGGCTCTTGCAAAACAAAACAAGTTAAACAATGCTGCATCAGTTTCTCATGCTTCAGTTTTTCAGAATTTTACTGTTTGGGAATATTCATTTGAATTAGTAATCCATAATATTTTTATTTCTTTAGCCTTTAGCACATAACTTAGTTGGTTTTTATTTATTGCAAATTCCCATCCTAAACCTAAACTAAGCTTTTTGGTTTCTGCTAAATAAATTATATCAACTTTTTGTTTTGAAGCCAAGCTAGAGAACATATGTAAAAATAACACACAAATGCAAAACTGCACCTCTTTTGCTGCCCAGTCTTACTAAGAAGAACTGAGGAGGATAGAAATTTTTACTCTATCCACTTTGTGACATCTCTGTACCTTGAGAGGTGGCCCAATTATCTCACCACCTTTTCTTTCCCATTGGTCTCTGTCTTGGATTGTTGGAATAACTTGCTAACATTATTTTCCATCCCGTACTGAGAACTGTAGCAAAAATAACCGGATTTTGAATTCTCTAAATGTAAAATATCCTTTTGATTACTTGCATTTTCTCCAGTGTGTTTACTCTTCTTTTTCCTGCAGAAAAGCAGGTTTCAAAAGAGAGGGCTTAACTTTTCGCTGTTAACTTATAACTATCTTTCACTGAGCACAAACTCCAAAGCATTATTAATTTCTTGTTTTTATGTATTTCTCTACCTCTATCTTATTTTTGAAACGCATTTTTTCTGTGTCACTTTGTAACGAGGTAAATACATTAAGGTCCACATTGAAGGAAGGGACTGAGATCAACAGAATTGTCCCTTACAGGAGGTATTACTACATTTGTAGTTTAGGAATTCTGATTAAAAGAAAGAAATCTTTTTATAGAATGAAAAATTTAAACTAAAAAAGACAATCTGAAACTTTTCAGATTTTAAATTATGTCCAAAGGGGCATTTTTGCAACGTTTTGTGTGTCACCTTTAGTTATTAAATATCATGTTCTTCACACTTCAGCCATAAAATTCAGTTCAAGAGCAATGTGGCAAAATAATTTTAAAATGAGCCTATCTTTAGAATTTCTGATAGACATATCCGTGCGCTGGAGATAAAAAGGTTCTCCCCCCGTAGAGTGTTGCCATTGCTCTCTTTGAAATAAAAAAAAAAAATCTGAAAGCTTTTAGATTTTATATTACGCCCAAAGAAGCGTGTTCTCAACGTTTCATGTGTTACTTTTATTAAATATCATGTTCTTCGCTCTTAAATCATAAAATTCAATTCAACAGCAATATCACCAACTACTTTAAAAAGAGCATAAAATTTCCGATACATAGCCTTGCGCGCTGGAATTAAGAGCGTTCCTTCCCCGTACAGTGTTGCCATTGCTCGCTATGAAATCGCTGAGTTTGTTAATCAAAAATTCGTTAAAATTTTACAAAATATGAAATAGATTATAAAACAAATTCCACATTTGTGCTTCCAGATGCCCATATTCGGATGGAGACATGCGTTATTCAAAATTGGGTGGCTTTAGGTACCGTTTTGTTATCACAATGCGAGAAATAACATATATTTATGCAGATTCTACATTATTTAATTTCCTTAAATATATAATACAGGGTGATAATATTTGGTGGCAATAATTTGAAAAGCGATTCAGACTTTTTTCAACGCAAAATGCCAAAACGAAATTAATAGCCCTTCTGGGCTAAAAAGGGAAATGTTGTTTGTACAATATTTGAAAGGTATGAATCTGACACATATCAAAATTTTAGTAGAAATTAACTGATAGTTAGGCTTCATGTTGTAAAATCAAATTTCTTTGCCTGAAGAGGGAGTTGACATAACATCGCTGTATTTATTTAATTTATTTAAAAAAAAAAAAAAAAAAAAAAAAAGAGAGTTTATCATCGCTAAGCAATGACTCATGAAGTAGGCAAAGAATTCACCTAATATTCAGTGTGTGATTACTTTTCCATTACACCATCAACATTTACAGGCTATTGTTTTGTCAGTTAATCTACACATCTCATATATTCATATAAATGTATTTCATAGCTTCCTAAAAAACACATATAAAATGCATTATATTTTCGCATAATTTTAAATCATAAAAAGTTGGAAAAATATAAAAATATTAACTAAAAGCTAAATTTTCATTAAAGAAGTAGCAACTTCGACTAAGTACCGGACATCTGAAGTCCGGATAATTCTGAATTCTTTTGCATCAACTTGTAAGAAATTAAAGTGTTCCTTCCATATGTGCTTCGTGGTGGAATAGTTAGCACATCCAGCTGGCATTTTGAAGATTCGTAGTTCGATTCCCGGTAAAAGCATATTTAAGTTTTTCATGTTTTGCAATAATAATAATAGTAATAAGAAAAATCTGAAAGGTTTCAGATTTTAAATTACGTCCAAAGGGGCATTTTTTTAACGCTTTGTGTGTTACCTATATTTATTAAATATCATGCTCTTTGCACTTAAACCATAAAATTCAGTTCAAGAGCAATGTCGCAAAATGATTTTAAAATGAGCCTATCTTTAGAATTTCCGATACACAATTCCGTGCGCTGAAGATAAAAAGGTCCTCCCCCGTAGAGTGTTGCCGTTGTCGCTTTGAAATCCTTGAGTTTGTTACTCAAACATTCGTTAAAGTTTTACAAAATATGAAATCGATAATAAAACAAATTCCAAATTTCAAATTTGGTCTTCCACATGCCCATATTCGTAGGAGGATTACGTCATTCAAAATTCGATGGATCTAGGTACCGTTGTTTTATCACAATTAAAAAAATATACATATAATTTATGCAGATTTTTTTATTATTTAATTTCTTCAAATATAATGCAGGCAATAGTCATGCATTAGTCCAATGGACAATAGTCCTGCATTAATTATAAGCTATTTCAATATGTCAGCAACAGAATATGTGATATGCATGTTCAATATGTAATTTTGTATGTATGCTGTGCCAGGTTCTCATACATAAAGTTCGTACTGTATCTGAATGCTGTAATGTTATCTGTACATGTTTATATCTTTTATTTATGGTACCTAATTTATACTAAGGTTCACGCGTACCTCAATGGCATGCTTCTTGTAAACTTTAACTATCATGATAACGTATATGTATGGGAGTATATATCAATATGAGTGAGAGTATGTACAGTGTCTCACAAAAGTGATGGGTGGAATAGTTAGCACATCCAGCTGGCATTTTGAAGATTCGTAGTTCGATTCCCGGTAAAAGCATATTTACGTTTTTCATGTTTCACAATAATAATAATAGTAATAAGAAAAATCTGAAAGGTTTCAGATTTTAAATTACGTCCAAAGGGGCATTTTTTTTTAACGTTTTTGTGTGTTACCTATATTTATTAAATATCATGCTCTTTGCACTTAAACCATAAAATTCAGTTCAAGAGCAATATCGCAAAATAATTTTAAAATGAGCATACCTTTAGAATTCCCGATACACAATTCCGTGCGCTGGAGATAAAAAGGTTTCCCCCCCCCCACGTACAGTGTTGCCATTGTCGCTTTGAAATCCTTGAGTTTGTTACTCAAAAATTCGTTAAAGTTTTACAAAATATGAAATTGATAATAAAACAAATTCCAAATTTCAAATTTGGGTTTCCGCATGCCTATATTCACGGTAGGATTACATCATTCAAAATTGGATGGCTCTAGATACTGTTGTTTTGTCACAATGCGAGAAACATAGATACATTTAAGCACATTCTTCATTATTTAATTTCGTCAAATATAATCAAGGGCGATAATATTTGGTGGCAATAGTTTGAAAAGTGAAACGGACATTCAGAGTGATTCGACGCAAAATCACAAAAGGAGAACAGTAGTCCCTCAGGGACAAAGCCTCTTTGGACTAAAAATTAAATTTGACATTAGTAATTATTGTTACAAAGGAATGAACAGTGAATAAATTTGTACAGTATACATATTTTGAGTTATCATGTATACATAGCTCATGCTACTATATACTGGTACAGTAAATAGAAACAAATTTGATTTTATTACTTTATAACTTATTATGATGAAATTTAATTATGTTATTAAAAATAATAATATAAATGTCCTATATTATTAAAGTTAGAAACAAATTTGATTTTATTACTTTATAACTTATTATGATGAAATTTAATTATGTTATTAAAAATAATAATATAAATGTCCTATATTATTAAAGTTAGAAACAAATTTGATTTTATTACTTTATAACTCATTATGATGAAATTTAATTATGTTATTAAAAATAATAATATAAATATCCTATATTATTAAAGTTAAACAAATTTGATTTTATTACTTTATAACTCATTATGATGAAATTTAATTATGTTATTAAAAATAATAATATAAATATCCTATATTATTAAAGTTTTTGTTGTTGTTTACCTTTTTTGGGGGATACTGAAGCCACACCCCTCCAAATTACAGACCCTAAGCATTTGTATTTGACTGTTGGGGTTAATATAGTTCTGAATATCTTTAGACAGTTGTTGAAAGCACTCTCTTTTTCACCAGTATGGCAGGCTTTTGTATGTGCATAAAAACACAGGAAGCATTATTGTGGAAATTTTTACTTTAATACATACATAAAATCTGGTTTTTAGAAAAATGAACTTTTATTGAATTTACCTGATATGAATAATAGGACTGTCACATTAGCATTTCTGCTACGTCTTTAACTAAAGCCGTTTTTCATCTAAAAATCCAATTGGGTTAAATGGGACAGACGAACTCGCTCATCCACATAATGTAACAAAAATCACATTTATTTTAGCTTCATTTTGTGTTATAATGTTGATGCTTATGTGTTCATTTCAACCATTTATGTATGTGAACAAATTATTAGGTTTGGTTATTAAATACAAAAATTTCAATATTTTGACAATCATGTAATGCTTAATATGATAGCTGTTTGCTTTTCTGAGCATTTTAACAAATTTAGGAAGTGGCAAACAAGGCTTTGTACCTCAAGGGACAATTTTCATCTTGGGACTGCAGGAGGATAGAAAACACTTCCGGTAGTAAACATCGGTATTAATTTCAAATAATCTGTATATGAAAGTTAACTTAAGATAATCAAAAGTATGAAAATGCACAATTTCGAAAGTTCTATGAATTATAATATATTTTATAAACTATACAGACAACCAGGTTTCTGTTTCTGCATTTAAGCATATCCATTCAAATAAATTCAAAAAAAAGGATTTTCACCATCTTTTTTTTTTTTTTTTTTTTTTTTTTTCAATATTCATATATTAGGGTTATATCTGTATTGGATGCTACAGAGTTAACAGTACGATTTAAGTAATAAATAGCATTTTTCTTTTTGTGAAGTATTGAAATGCAGTCACAACACATGTGGAAGTAAAAAATATTCTGCCTTATAGAAATTTGAAATTAATTATCAAATTTGTAGTAATACTTAATAAATACCTAATATAATTGTTCTACATTTATAATTTTTAAAATATTTAACGTGGAAAATCTGAAATGAGGTTGAATTTTACCTAAATTTAAAATTACTTTCACTTTAATTTATCGAAAACACTTCCGGTAGATGGCGCCAAAATATTATGAATGAGGGGTGTTTTCTCTTTTCCTTAAATAGGCACATGAAAGTTAATATGCGGATCAAGCGACTTTTAATTAACAGGCTGTAATTAATCACCTCTAATGAAATGAATGATACTGTTATATCTTTCAATATCGAAACTTTTCAAATTATGATAAAAAAGCTTTTATATGTGCCGCATTATCATAAAAGTTACGAAATCTTACCCAAATCTACTATATGAATAGAGATCCACGAGAATCTAGAAATTTGAAAGTTCATTAGTAAATATCAACTTAGTGTGTATATTTGAAAGCCTCTTCTACTTTCTGTATAAACCCTACAGGCCGGTGTTACTATTCGTATGTATGTGTGTATTGAGTAACTAAGGTTAGGACGGAGATCCCACGGACTTGTTAAGCAACTTCTGACGTCACAACAGTTCTTTGAATTGTGACTGCAATTTCAGAAAAAGTTTTCCCACCTCTTTTCGAATTTGGTTAGTGCATTACGAAGGAGGGAGAAAAAGCATACTATACTATATTATCATCCTTAAAAAAGTAGCCGCAGTTACACGTGATAGCAATTCCGCTGTCGCGTGATTGCTAGCATGACCTTGAATAAATATTTGTTATGAAACGAAAAGCAAAATTGTGAACAGGAAATTTTATAATCTGACGTGAAAACATGATGTCGCGACAGTTAATTTTCGTATTTGATTAAAAGTCAAGAAAAAACATCATTATGGGAAAAAAATTAACGTCTTAAAAATGTGTGTTGACATCTCTCCCTTATTACGTATAATCTTCGATCAACTCGAAACGCATTTGATCCTTGCTTTTATTCAAATTAACGCCAAATAAATATTTCATTTAATAGTTTATTTTCAAAGTTTAACTCGCGTTTAAATTGTTATCAGCAAATTATATTTATTTATGATTATTTTTACCACCATTATTATTCTCTAATCTCCTCCGAGGTAATATGGAATACTTTCTTCCAAAGTAATACAGTTTCTATAAATGGAAAAGTTTAGGTGAATTTACATGGTTAAAAAAGTTATTTTAAACGTAATATACGCGTAAGTAAATTGTAGTGATCCAATCTTGCTTTATCCAACCCATTTTTCATCAAGCTTTCTTTCTGCCTATCGAATCCGTTGCCATTTATTACAAAGGCGATGAATTAATTCTTCCAGATTAGTTGCTTAATTATTTGAAGGAAACATTACGAGGGTAAGCTGCCTAAGGAAAGATATGCTTTATAAACTATAACCCCATGCAGTCAATCTATTATGCCTTAGTCGAACTATCAATGTTCAGGGTCTTATTCTTATAAAATTGGTAACCTCCATTTCGTCAAAAAGTAAACTAAAATTAAGATATCTTTAAAACTTGATTAGCATTTTTTTCCAAACTTTGTACTTCAATTAGTAATATTATATCATAGTCACCTCTTTGTTTTATGTACGTATTCCCCCTTTTTTCTACTCCGCACATTTTCATGTTCTGGCAAAAACAAACAAACAAAAAAAAAAAAAAAAACCTTCTTGACACTTCATTTGCAGAACATAATAAACTCTCATGCGCAAGTGATTCAATGAAAGAAGTGCCTAGCTATGTCTTAAATCAGGGTTTCTTAAATTGTGGGTCGCCAAACATTTTAGCAGTTTGTATATTTCTTTAACTTATTATAATAATTTTACAATTACCAAATATTTTTTACACAATGTATCTGAAAATAGATAAAGATCAGAAAAAAACGAAAACCTTATTCATTCTTTTTATAATATAAACGTTCATTTTCCTTGCTTTACACGTGATGCTGTCATTTCGTTTGTTACTTATTTAAAATTTTCACATTGTCCTTTGTCTTAAAATTAGAAATTAAAGTTAAGACCTAAAACTGCAATAGTATATTACAGTACAAGTGAAAAAATTGACAGTTTCACTCACGCATGTGTCGGATTTGCGCAATATTTATGGGGTCCCACAAAATTTTTGGAAATATCATGGGGTCCTTGGGGGTCGCGGAAAAAAAATCTGTGATAAGAGGGCAGTGATAAAAAATAATCAAGTCCTTATCAAATAAAGTAAAAAGAAGTGTTCGAGTCTTTAATTTATGGTAGAATAATATAATAGTAAGTCACCCCCCACCTGCCGTTTGGCGTTGCTGGTTGGAACAGCTTGTTTAAAAAATTATATTTTTATATTCTGTAGGTTGAATTTATGGGGGTTTGCACAATTATGTACAGACAAATGCGGAAAGTGTACTATACTAGAATTTCTGTAGAATCCTCCTAAAACTAGTGAGTCTATCGTCTGTTTCGGATATTGAACTATGATTAACTATTGCTTCGAATATTTAAAATATGATCAAACTGCACTTCTTTATTTTTAATTATTATTTTTTCATAGTTTTGCATTTTTTAAATATGATCAGATTGCACTTCATTATTTTTAATTATTATTAGTATTTTTTATAGTTTTGCATTTTTTAAACATTTCTTATGTTTTAAAATGATGACAATTTTTCAGTTATGTTACTTCATAAATCTGGTAATTAAAGAATGCACTGGAATGCTCAAATTCTTTAAGTTTATAATTCCAGAGGCAGCAGTTGTAGAGCAAAACAAGCGAATTCTAATGCGATGAAAGCGAAGTAATAGATAAGTGTGAATTTGTGGGAGAAAAGTCGCTTACATTTATTATTATAGTCAATAAAACTACATCATAAATTCTGCTAATAGTTTGGGTTTCGCAATTATGCGTCTCGCCACTATGCAAAAAAACCTCCAGCTACAGAAATTATGCGATATCTTTCTCCGGCTCTACCATAGATAGGAGTTTTGTGTCAAGTAATAACAGCAATTATGCGTCAAATTATGATAAAAATTTTGTCATATACCATGTTTATTTAAATCAAAGGAGCACCCCACCCCAATCCATATAAGCGTCGCTAAAAACGGAGTGCTGCTACTTTAATCGACTACTTCTCAAAATAGCATTTTGTTCCGAAATAATATTTTCTTTTCTAAGTTACTAATTTAAATAGCAATATTATTGTTGTTAATAAATCGAAATCATTCAATAAAAAGAAAACATTTGTTAGATGTTCTTAAGCGTTTCATTTCCTTAATTTTACTTTCTTAAAATTGCCCCACCCCAGACGGTATAGGGGTTAAGGGAGGTAAACCGCTGAGTTGGCTTCCAACCCAGATATATGCATGCAGAATTGGTTAACGACATTTATAAAATGCAAAAAAGAGATATACATGTGCATGCAAGGCACTTGAAGAAGATTCCGAAACAAATAAAAGTATACAGTGTCTCACAAAAGTGATGGGACACTTGTGCTTTACGAAAGGAAACTGTAGTAAAATAAATTAAAAAATCATGTACAAATTTTTTGTGGGTGTGTTTCATACTTAAATTTAGTAACAATTATTACATAATATACATTTTCTCAAAATATTAAAATATTAATTTAATAAAAATACAATTGTTTAGAACGAAGCAAAAAATGGCTCACATAAGTGATGGGACACCATTAGATACTACTACGTACTACGATAAAAATATTTTTTGGGGTTTTTATTTTTACTCAAAAGCAATTGGCAATAATTTATTAAATCGTCTGCAGTATTTCTCTCAAGGAGGTTTATTAAATCGTCTGCAGTATTTCTCTCAAGGAGGTTAGAATAAAAGGAGGGATGGTTCGCAGTTTCCTCCATTATCGGGGAATGAAACTCCACGGAACAAGCAGCGTCCATGTTTGTTTCTTCAAAACTTCAAAACATTGCAATACGGTAGTGAAACGTACGTGTTTGTAAGCTGTTCTATGCATGCATTTTCCAGTAAAAATATGTTAAATTTATAGTGAAATGCTTCGCTATTGTTAGTTTTTTGTTTTAAAGTTATAAAGATGATACCTGTAATTTGCTAAGTACAGAAAATTATTAAGAAATATTTCGAAATCTAAATGCATGAGCATAACATTAAAGCCTTTAAAAATTATGATTCTGCATAATTTCAAGAATTTGTTTAGGTTTTATTAGCAACTTCTCGGGTATTGTACTTTCCAATTGTTTCTTTAAGAAGTGATATTTCTGATTTATTCGCAATATTACTATAATTTATTAAAGAATCATTTTTACCTGAAATTAATAACAGATAATTATCTAAAAAAATGGTGACATGTTGCTTTTTTTTTTTAATCGATTCTTTTCACAACCAATAACCTTATATCAACAAGAAAATAAATATTAATAAAATAAAACAGATTTATGTGAATTCAGTGATTTCAGTTTATGCGCGTTTCATATTTATGAATCTCAAAGAAATTACCTTGAAATATCTTTCCACATGTTCAATTGTGTAAATATTTTACTTACATTTATCGCTATACTGCCCAGAAATTTGTAAGCTTATGCAAAAACATTTTAACAATAGAACAGTTTATCTTGATCAAATGCACAAATTATATTCGTAACAGTTCACAAAACTTAAGAATGAATAGTAATTAATACATAAAGAAAAGCGTTGCTTTATTTAACACCTTCACAATTCATAAAAATAGTAACAATTGATTTCTTACTTTTCATGAAAATTATAAAACGAATTATCTAAGCGTTCAAATTATACAGTTTAAATTCTAGCATATATCATTGTATGTTAAGGAACGAAGATACCAGCTGTAAGCAAAAACATTAAAATGTATCATGTTTCGATTATTATTAAGTCATTTTTGTCACATCAGGAAAGAAAACAACATGACATTGTGACATTTTTTAACATATTTATGAAATTACACAAAAAAAAAAAGATAATTAATACTTACGAGTGAAAAGTAATCCCAGGAATATTTTTCGAAAATCTATTTGTGCATCCATATGCAATATAAGCTGACATGCTTCAAAAAGAGAAGGAAAAAAAAAAAAAAAAATGTTACAATTACAGACTTCCTTGCACAAGTCACAGTGATAACAGTAACATGGCCGTCAAGCTTCACCTTTTAAGTTGAACCTTCCCTCCTTCTATTCTAACCTCCTTGATTTCTCTCCAGTTTGTTTAGGAACTTTTGTGTTTTTTAGCTCTGTGCAGCCATAAATGCTAAACGAAAAGAAACTTTGCCTGAAATTCGAAAATTAGTTATTAATTTGCATATTGAACGTGGAAAATCTATTAGAGAAACTGCTGAAACAGTTAACTTGAGTCATTCAACAGTTTTCAATATCATTAAACGACATAAAAAGATTCATATGATTCAGGATAAAAGAACACCTGGCCGACCATCAAAGCTATCCAATGGAATAAAGCGAATTATCGTTCGAAATATTTAAAAAAATCCAA